TGCCAAAGAACCAATGCAATAGTTCAATGCTCAGAAGATGGGAATTAGCTTACCAGTTTGTGACCAACTCCAGAACCCCACCTAACCTCAACATTAGATAATATCCTCATATCCTCACCCTCACAGCTAACTCTTAAGTATTTATTTTCATGGACAAAACTAATTTGCTTTTCAATGTACATATTATATGTAAATACAATATTGCAATGTGCCTGTATTTAGTGCTTTGTGCAGTGTCAGTTGGACAACCTGTCAGACATTTTGAATTCAAACTGTGTCATCCTATTTAAACTGTTGTTTTGTAACTACCATCTAGGCCTACTTCTGAAGAAGCCTCTGAAAGAGGCGAAATATTAAGTAAATTATGTGTGTGATTTTATGTGTTCTTTGACTCATCTGCAACCTTTCATCAGGTGAGTTAGCTGTGTCCTCTCCATCCTATATTTATTTATTTAATCCAAGCTAAATGCTTTTTCCTAAAAACATAACCTTAAAGATACTAGTATTGTATTAATAATGTTTATAGCCTAAGTGTGTTAATATAGGAGGTTGAGTAACATAATTGTGAATCTTTAACTTTTTGATTTGTTTAGTTTCAAATTAATTACCTAATAGAATCACATAAGTAGTGATAACGTAGAAATATTGACCTTGTTTTGTTTGAGCTATAACTGTATGTAATGCTTGATTTACTCTTTGTTTTTAAGAATCCTTGGAGGCTAGACGTTCTAACTCATAAAACAATTAAAAAACTACAAAGAAAGTGTCTAATCTCACATTGCACTAGAAAGTTAAATCACTTTTGGTATTTGAAATAATATTTTGGGATGGTAAATAACTCTTCAGCGGATGTACGAAATTAACAAAATTAACATTGCTCTTATGGCGGGCAAATCCAAGATGGCCGTTGGACTTTGTTTTTGTTTTTACTTGTTAATATTTATTGTGCTTTAGGGGTTTGATATATTTGCAGAATTTAATTTACAGAATTTGGGCACTTCTGTATGTAAAATTAAAACTTAAATTATGCAATGTTTACAAGTTAACCAACTCCCTTATGACTCCATTAGAAAACAACTGAAAACTTCAAAGAAAGTTTATAATCTCTCAGTGTCGTAGATGTTTAAATTATAATTATTTTGGTGTTTGAAAATATCTTTTTGGGTGATAATTAACTCTTCAGCAGCTGTTTGAAATTATCCAAGATGGCCACTAGCCTCAAAGGACTCTTAAGAATGTGTATCAATATAAGAGCACATAAAGCTCCCACATACGATCTGTCAATTTAAGTTTTGTTTATTTTTGAAATGTGAAGTAAAATTATCATATAATTTAATTGTTTATTTAATTGAAAAATAAAAACATAAGTATAATAATATTCAAACAACAAATAGAATATTATTGTTTATTGTGTATTAAATAATTTTATGCTCATCCAAACAAACTAAGTGCCCCAGCTACTGCAGTCTCCTAATGAGTTAACAATCACATATTTTGTTGTTTGCACCTGAAAATGTAATAAATCTCTGGTTTCTATTCGATGGTCACTGTAGAATTCGAAATGATTGAAATTGAACACACTTAGTTTGCACCTTTTAAAATATTGTTTAACTGATTAGTTTTAAACCTTAAAACCTGAAAAGTTTGAAAGTATGATATGGATTGTAGTAAAAACTAATGTAAAAACATCAAAAGTAATATTTCAGCTGAATAAAACCATAAAACCTTGTTTATAGACAAACTTAGAAACTCTATAATTTTATTTTTTTTAATATTGTGTGGAAGAAAAATCTTAGTCAATTTATGATGGTTAAATTGTTATTGTTAGGCTTCTTATTTACTTGGTAAAGTGGCTTAAGATGGACATTTAATTAGGTATTGTAGTTTTACACCTTACAAGATTAACTAGTTTTGAAAAAAATAAATTCTACAAAGAGTTTTTTTTAAATTTTTTTATCTCCTATGCCTGTCATTAATTCGCTGGCTAATTGTTCTGATCATAAAAAAAGGTTAACGTATTATATGTTTTACGTACATTTACGTACTTACAAAATAAGAAGAATAAAAAAGCCAAACCTGTGTAATGTGATAGGACAAATTTAGGGCTATATCTATTCTTAAAAGTTCAATTTTATTGTTGTTTGACTTGGATATAGTCCGGTGGCTTAGTGTAATTACCGTTACATGGCGGATAAAAGCATCAAATTTGGTATGAAGGTACCTTAGGGTATACTAATAAATTTTAGCCTAGGAGCCCTTTTGAAATTTTAAATATTTCCACACACGGCACCAAAATTCAAAATGGCCGACAAATACGACAAAAACTACCTTTAAAACAATCCATTCTCCTGTTAACTCTAAAATATAACTTAAATCCAACCAAGACTCTACAATACAAACCGGAGACATACTAAATTATATGAAAGAAATCTTATGTGTGTCTGTGTGTGAGTGGGTGGGGGTATGTGTGTGACTATTTATGTAACGAAACCTGTACTGGACATTGCGCAAAAATGGTCAAACCAATTTACTGCAAATTTGGCGTGGACTTTGTTAGTATCATATGTCAACATTTAGATCTGTTTCCTTTTATTTATCTATTTTTATAATTTTATTTTGTTTATTTTTACAATTTTCATCTATTTTTTTTTTCAGATCTACAGAGTTAGGCAAAAGTATGGAAACCCCCCAGTTAACTTTTTAACGCGTTGCAGTAGGAAAACCAAACTCGGCATATATTTACAAAATAAAAAATTGCACTTTTTCATCAAAGTTACAACTTTGCCCCAGCTCCCAGAATGGGGTATTTTGGGGGCAGCCCCAAATTTTCAAAATTAAACACCTATCATGTGACCACTCATTTTAAAGGGTTTATCAAGAGAAGTTGAATGGTGCAAACCAGAGGTCAATATCCCACTCCAAATCGAAATGGCAGCCATTTTAATTATTTAAGATGAGCAAGCAAAAGATAAAGTCTTTATAATCGCAGTTAACTTTAAAAATATAATATTTTAATACTGGCCAAAAGGTGAATTATCTTTTTTTATAAAGGTAAGTAGAGTTTAGTGTTCCAGCTATAACCTGTTACAAAGTTAATAAGGTATATTTCAAAATGACTGCCATTTTGATTAGGGGGAAATATCTTGGTGTCATACTGGACCGCACACTGACATTTAAGGCGCATTGTATTGCGACAAGAGGTAAAGTCTCAGCGAGGAATAATATCATCAGGAAGCTCACCAGCAGATGCTGGGGTGCTAACCCTAATGTCCTCAGAACCTCAGCTTTAGCGCTCAGTGTGTCGGCTGCGGAGTACGCTGCACCAGTATGGAATGCATCGTCACATGCAAAAAAGGTTGTCATAGCAGTCAATGACATGGCTCGGATTGTAACTGGGTCTTTGAAACCAACCCCAGTACACAAACTATCCTATCATAGGGATCGCCCCTCCATCAATCCGACGTGATGTCGCTGCCGACGCAGAAAGGACTAAGCAAGAGACAAACCCTCGTCACCCATTACAAGGCAACCAACCTGCAGAGTGACGGCTTCGGTCCAGAAAGAGCTTTTTATCACGGACACGAGTCCTGGATGGATCACTCTCAATCAATCGGGTGGCAAGGTGGGAGGCCACGTTGACTAACCCTTCCTTACCAGCCAGGGAGGAACTGGCTCCTGGTGGAGGCCTTCATTACACGGTGTGGAAGACCCTAAATCGAATTAGGGTCGAGGTACCAAAATGCAGGACAAACATGCAGAAATGGGGTGTATTAGGGGGGCGATATTGACTTCTAGTTTGCGCCATTTAATTTGTCTTGAGAAACCCTTTAAAATGAGGGGTCACATGATAGGTGTTTACATTTGAAAATTTGGGACTGCCCCCAAATACCCCATTTTGGGGGCCGGGTACAAGTTCTAACTGTAATGAAAAAGTGATTTTTTTTTATTTTGTAAACATGTGCCGAGTTTGGTTTTCCCCTGCCACACGTTATAAAGTTAACTGGAGGTGTCCAGACTTTATCTTTTGCTTGCTCATCTTAAATTAAAATGGCTGCCATTTTGATTAGGGGTGCGATATCGACCTCAGATTTTCACCATTCAATTTATCTTGATAAGTCCTTTAAAATGAGCGGTCACATTATAGGTTTTTAAGTTTGAAAATTTGGGGCTACCCCCAAAATACCCCATTTTGGGGGCTGAGGCAAAGTTATAACTTTGATAAAAAGTGCAATTTTTATTTTGTAAATATATGACGAGTTTGGTTTTTCCTACTGCAACGCGTTAAAAAGTTAACTGGGGGGTTCCATAATTTTACCTAACCCTGAAGATCTAAAAAAAATATATGAAAATATATAAAAAATATATGAAATATATGAAAATTGTAAAAATAAACAAAATAAAATTATAAAAATAGGTAAATAAAAGGAAACAGATCTAAATGTTGACATATGATACTAACAAAGTCCACGCCAAATTTTCAGTAAATTGGTTTGACCATTTTTGCGCAATGTCCAGTACAAGTTTCGTTACATAAATAGTCACACACATACCCCCACCCACTCACACACAGACACACATAAGATTTCTTTCATATAATTTAGTATGTCTCCGGTTTGTATTGTAGAGTCTTGGTTGGATTTAAGTTATATTTTAGAGTTAACAGGAGAATGGATTGTTTTAAAGGTAGTTTTTGTCGTATTTGTCGGCCATTTTGAATTTTGGTGCCGTGTGTGGAAATATTTAAAATTTCAAAAGGGCTCCTAGGCTAAAATTTATTAGTATACCCTAAGGTACCTTCATGCCAAATTTGGTGCTTTTATCCACCAGGTAACGGTATTCGTAAATTAAAGCCCTAAGCCACCGGACTAATAGTAACCGTTACCCTTTTTTTTATGATTGACAATACATGTTTTAAAATCACTTAAAAGTATTTTATTTTAAGGAAAATATGGACTATGGTTTTACTTTTTAGACATTAAAATACAACCTGAATTTTTCAGTGAGCAAACTGTGTCCATCAGTGGAGGTGCCTGTTGCTCAGAATGTCGGTAAACCTTCCGTAAACCAATCAGTCGCACAGAATGGTAAAAAAGCTAGTGAAAATCGACCACCAGTAGTCAAGTTGAGCGAAAATGTTCAGCAAGTGAACAGTGTCTTTGGTAGTTGCATAATACTTTAAAGGTACCCAAAGACAAGGTTAGGTTGTACATAGCCAAAATGCTAGGGACATAATGAGTTAAATCTCACAGTAACTTATTTTACACTCAAATACATGTTTGAGTCCAAACTAGTAATAGTTCAAACTAAAAATTTTGTTATTCATTGTGACCCTTAGTTGGAATATATAATTGATAAAATGGAAGAATTACCTTATCCAACCACAGTTGCTAGTATGACAACTAGTTTCGTTCCTTAGAACATCGTCAGGTCATTGTATGCAACTACATTATCAATGTATTAATACATTGTGGTATGTCAAAAGATTCTTTAAAACACTGTCAGAATCACAATAGTAAAAACTAAACTAGTCATGTTGATCAAATTATTAAATTGAATAAAAAGTGATAAAATTGGTTAAAACTGTAAAGGCTGGCAAGCACTCTCTTATCACTGTCACTGACTAAATAAAACTGACTGAATCATGAGGTGTCTTCATCTTCATCTCTCCAGTGCCACCTGTATTTCAGTTTGTTTTGTTCTTCTTATTTGATACTTCTTTGATTTGTAGCTTGTCAATATATGTATCAAATATAATATTTGACTGGAAGGAAGTCTGATAATTTAAAATGTTAAATGGGTCGAGTTTTTTAGCTTTGTAGATGGTGAATTCTTTTTTGACATCAAGCTTAAAACTTTTTGGTAATACTTCAACTATTTCCATGTTCTTATCAATAGATGTGTAGTTGTGTGATTGTGTAATAAAAATTTTGAATCTCAAAAATTAAACTAATATAAAAAAACTGACTCATGAGTCAGGGCTGGGTCCGCACAACAATGTAATCACTTTTGTTTAGGCCGGCCAAAAAGTATAATTTCTCAATGTTACGTGTAAATATAAATGTTTCGTGTGTCAATGTATGTGTATATGTGAACTTCAACGGCGACCAATGCTATAAACAGTAATTAACAAGACAGAAAATTTGACAATGCTGTTAGCTGACGGGGCTGTTGGCCCCGAAACTATAGTCATTATAAAAGACGACTTGGATTGAGGACGTATACAAGGTATTTAACCTATTATTATTAGTGTTTTTAAAACACAAATTTTGTTGTTGTTTTGATATTTTAACTTTTATGCAATTATTCTTACTTTTGGACTAAAGTTAACACGTCCAACACACTATATCTCTGTAATATTTTATTGCTACACAATCTTGTTGTTTTTTATTACCTACTATACATTGTATACTATTAAATAATAAACAAAATTTGATTGATAAATCAATGTATTAATGACAAATACTTAGTTATAGTCATCATTGATCGTACCTTAAGCCCACAACACTAATTTATTTAAAAAAAGCCAACTGTGCATAGCTTTACAGTATATTATTGGCTGTGTCAATAAGAGTTGAAGCAGAATCGACAAGCCAAATTTTAATTGAAGGTATGTAGTAGGGCCTGTATGCTATAAAGAATACAAATGTCTTTCGATGGTCCAAAACGGTTCATTGGTGTTACTATTATGATCAATGAATAATCCTGTCTAAATTACAGCCTTAGACATTGCCAAGGCTAGTCACCTCTTCCACTCATGTTTGATTTAAAATTCACCGTAAAAGCGTCCCCACTTACAGTGATGGTAAAATAAATAGGTACCCAAACTATTTGATTCGATAATATAAACTTGCTTAGCTGCTTACAATCCCAAAAAAAATTTCAAATGAGAATTTCCTAACACAGGTACAAAAACAACCGGTTAAAAAACGTGTATACACATCTCTGTATTTACCTCTTATGAACACAATATATTAAAATTGACGACATGACAAAAATAGCAATAGTTTATATTAAGTACATGATTTAAAAAAGTTAGTCTATTATTACACTTGTCATAAAATAGGCATTAGAAAGTTTTCTCAGGTATATTAGGAAGGTTTGGGTTTGGACTGGACCCGCTGGATGTTTGTTTGAGAGAAATATCTCCTAAACTGGTAACTCCCTTCTCCTCCAGATCCTTCCAGTATTGATAGTTGCTCCTTAGGTGATACAACATCTCTGGCATGTCAATAAATGCTGCAACATACAAGATTTGGATTTAAAAGTTATGTTATCTATGAGATTTTGCAGACATTACCAATCACGAATAGTGAATAACAAAGTTTTTACAACATTTCTTATGGTTTAATTATTTGTGAAGGGAAACTGCTTGCAATAATCTCTTATAATAACATCACCTAAACCTCCACGTGGTTGAAATGGTGAAAATACTGGGCAATTCGGATACGCTCCATTAATCTAACTTTGCCTAACTTCTGACATTGATTAATCAGTAGTTATAACCATTCAAATTGTTCTTGGTCCTGATGAAAAATTGCAACAAATCTATACTTATTTAATACGCATGCAAGCAGGTTTTTTGTGACAATTACTCCTCTGAAACCACTGAACCGATTGACATGTTTTTGGTTTCATTGATACAGTCATCTCCCTGGAACACTAGACATTACAACCCCATGTTAAAGCTGTCACCAGTTTTTAAATCAAAATGGATGTTGTTGACATGAGCCACAGACAGATTGTGCAGATTTGAGAGAGATATTTACAAACTGGTGACTTAAAATTATTATTATAATTTAGTACAGTTGCTTAAACTGTACTTCACTTATTGATAGATGAAGATGTAGAATAATGATTGTTATATCTTAAAGCAGTAAATAAAATTGTAATTAAGTTTTATCGGAAAAATCTTGCTAGTCAATAAAATAATTCAAATTCTAATAGTTGATCATTAACACATCATTAGTTGATTGCACTTGAGTTACTCCCGAAGTACTTAAGGCTCATGGGTTCAGTTCCCAAAGTGAATCAATTCATTCTGAAAATTGATGCAAACTGAAGATGATCTTATGGCTATCAATCCTTCATATATATCAATTTGATTCATACTTCACATTCGACTGAGCTAGCCAGAAAGGTTACAGTCAAATCCCTCACAAATACATCTGACAGATTTACACTATCACTTACCATCCCAAGCTTCAAACATATCATTGATGATGAAGTCGACAAAACCCATCTGGGATTTTGGAATGGAACATGATGTCCTGTCAAACATCGGCATTACAACAGGCAAGTGGTTGGCCTTCTCATCGTCAGTCTGAAAGACAAAACATGTAAATGTAGATCACAAATAAAACAAAATCTTCCTTGTAGTAAGGTAGGAATAGTGTTTCCACTCTGCTTTTCAATAATCCAATATATTAATCCTATATCAGTTCTCAGACAACTATAAGGGTTCCCAACTGCAAAACAAACAACTGCACTTTCTTATTGTGCATAGTAAACCTGTCTAGAATACTCTACACTCATCAAAACCAAGATTTTTCAGGACTATCCAGGCAGTTCTTGTTCGCTACAAACATCAACTACCTTTCAAATGTAATTAGGTTGGAGTAGGAAGAATGTTGACTAAAAGATTATTTTTCTATTTTTGGATATATTTTGTTATTGATTTAGTTACCTCTTTTGTGTGAGTTGACAGTTCTCATCTGATATACAGAAAGTAACAGGTTCGATCTTGAGAAAAGTGAAATTTGTTTAAATGGTTCAAAATTAAACCTAGCTGTCCTTAGCCATTGGACTTTTTAAATTACACTCCTGATCTTAGTCAAAAGCAATAATGTCATTCATTGAATACTTGTCTCCTTAAAATATGCACCTTGGTGTGTTGACAAAATATAATCTAACTACCAGGAAAGAAGCGACAAAACATTCTTTACCTAAACCAGATTACACACCTTGCAATTGTCCTCCGCTTATCCACAAAGAAGATTAATCTTTTTTGGAGGATGTTTAACTTATGGCATTACTCATTGAGCATGCTGGTGGTGTGAAGATATTAAATGAGAGATTATTGATTGTATAATCTGTAAAGGTACATTCTCCTGCAGTTATTTTTGTGTAAATATTAAATATATATGCTAGAATGAACAGAGATTCTGATATTGAAGTATTCAACTCAATAATTGGTATATTGAGAGCAGGGATGATTAATTGACAATTACCTGAGTGAAATACTCCTCAGCGATGCGCCGTGCCCACTCGACGCACATCTTGAGTGGCCGTGTAGGGTTGGAGACATCCGCGCACTTAATCATCATCCGCTTCACGAGGTTAATCTCGTCTGCGCTCGATAGAGAAATGTCTCCTCCGCAGTCACTTGGGCTCTGTAGAAAAACAAACAAGGAAGTTAATTAAATTAGAACTTAGCTAAGGAATGAATAAGTAAAATAAAGCTTATTCATTTTAAGAAAAAACATTGACTAAATAAGAAAATGCAGGTAAAAAAATTAGTTGTAAAATATTACTAGATTAGGCTGACTTTTGCGACAAAGTGGCAAGAAAATAAATGTCAAGAAAATTATGTATGATTATTTTTTTAACATTAGGTACCGTAGTGTTTTTTAAAAGAGGTTGACGGCCTTTTTTTACCTTGTATTTGTCCATTCACATAGGCCTAAACATTTGGGAAGAATGTATTTAGCAAAGCAAGAGGTGAGTGGTTACGGCCAGTTTATTTCAGTCATAGATTTAGAAGTCCATCGTGGTACCAAGTGTGCTACGGACTCACTAACAGTATCAACAATCTGTCAATTTTAAATATAGTTACAAATTTATTTATTTGTTTGGTAATTGTAATACACTTTTGTAATTTTTATACAATTTGAATTTTTACTATTCATTCGTTTTACTATATTAGAAGTCTTTTTAACAAATCTCAATCATTAAATCTCCAGATGTTATCTTTCCTAATCAGTATTTTTGATAACATATCATGAAACATGATTTTTCTAGCTGAACATTTTGTATATGCAACACTTAGATTATAATGTTGAGATTTAAACACCCCCCCCCCCCCCACCTATGGACTTAAAGGAAATCCCTCTATGGACTTGAAAGGCTGTGGTGAGAACTACAATTCAAACCAAACATCATTATTGTCATTCTTTTGATTTGTATTATTGGAAATAATTGATTTGACGTTGAGATTACTACTTAGTATAAAAAAAAGGGAAAAACAATGCAAATTTACCTTCGCATCTCCGCTGCCGTCATCAGAAGTTGAGTTGGGTTTGTTGAACACACTGACGAATTTTGCAAGGTGTTCAAAATGTTTTGTCATCTCTGTGGCAAGAATCATGTCAATTATACTTTGCCGGGCTACTTTATACGTGTCTCGCTCCAAACCTAGAGAAGAAGAAAATTAGAATATCAGTCTAAAATGTTTGGAAACTGTTTTTTTTTTTTTTGTTACAAATACGAGGTGTTACTAAAGGAATGTCAAGGTTTTAACACTTAATGATATTTACTGTATCAAACCTGCAGTGATAAATGTTGTGTCAAATGACTCAAATGAACTTAAATATTGTTTATTGGTGTAATGTGATACGTTAAATTCCCAACCAGTTGGGACCTTATTTAGCATAGCCTCCATAAACACTCAATTTTATGCCATTGCCATCCATAGCTTTAGGAGTTCCTTCTTGAAAATCAGGTGTTTGTATGACCATATAACACTAACTAAACCACCTGAAATGGATTGCCGTTGCTGCATTATTAATTAGTCAAGAGACACTTAACTTAGTAGTTTACATCAGCTCAATCCAGAACACTGGCCATATGAGAAACAGAAAATTAACTTTTTGTACAATAGGACAACAAGTTTACTTACACAATCCAAAGTCAATGACAATACTAACCTTTAAAAATATTTACTCTGTCGTCTCTAAGGGTGAGTTTAAACGTCAGCGCTGCATGATGAGATTCTAGTACGCTGATGTCATTGTATAAGAGAGCCAGTTCATTGCTGGAGTTGGCCAGGAAGGCACTAGAAAGAAACCAAGAATAACTCGTTTGAAACCTAGCTCACAGAATGTGCTGCTCTAAAAAAGAGCGAGCAAAAAATATTTTGCTTCACATTACAGAATTTGAGTAAACAAGCAAATTTTTGTTGCCTTTCTCAACTTTCAATCTAAGACTATGCAGGGTAAAAAAATTAATTGTTAACTGCTTAGAACTGATTTTCTTAGGTAAGTTAGTTGTGTGTGGACTGTCAATTCCTTCTTCCTCAGTGTATCTTTCTTCTTCCTAAGCCAAGTGATCTTTCCTCTAAAAACTGGTCTTAAAGACTTACACCTTATGTAAAAACACTTGAGAAATATTACCTGGACTTCCCTGGATGGTCAATATCATGACAAGCAGCTGCAATGAGACAGCAAGCCTCGTCCAATTCGTCCAGAATCTTCTTGATCCTCTCCCGTTCCAGGAAGCAAGCCGTTGCCTGTAGAACATCTGCTGCATGGGAAGAGTTATGGTAGGTGTTGCTGATGTGGTAATGTCGCTCTATCACCGTCAGCCAGTTGTATAGGGTTTTCTCATCACATCCGAGAGTTTTGTGAACATCAAAGTGGAGGAGAAGGTTCATTCCGAGGAACACCAATGGCCTGAGTGACAGAATGCAAAAGTTGGAAAATCAGCTGTAAGAAGGTCCAATGTGAGTAACGTAAACAATTTATTGAAACAGTTCATGTGCGTATACAAGCAGTATGCATCATGCAGCATCACTCACTCAAGTAAAGCGAGGGGTTTTTCAGTTTGGCAACAATGTGAAACTTCTAATCGTCTGTTATGAAAAGAAATGTTTAGAAACCAAATTTATATGGTTTTATTCACTAAAAATCTTATTAATAGAAATCACACAACATAAAATTATCAGACTAATTTTACTTTAGATAAAGGACTCTTGGGTAGACTCTTTAGATAGAGGGTATCTTTTGTCAGTCTCATCCTATGGTTTTCTGTTAAACTTCAATTACCTTTTTCCCGTTAGTTCTTCCAGCCTGAAGATGTTGAAGTCCCACAGCAACGCTGAGTCCAGCAGTTCTTTTATCTGTGGAGAAGCGTTCATGGCAAACACCACCTTCGCCCCGGGTGGGAGGGACTGGGCTGCCTTAACTGCTGCAGAGTCGTTAGAACTGCGCCTGGTGGTGGAAACTGGTACTGTGCCTGACTGTGAAACGGATAAAAATAGTTGTTACCAAAAGTTCCTGGATTTGTTGCTCATAATTCAGCACTACAAATTAAGCTCTAATTTTGTAAAAAGAAAGTTGTTATACTAGAGGTCAATGCCACATCAGCTGTCCTGGAGCCAATGCCTGGTTGAAAAGTCGATGGCCTGATGTGGCCATCAGTGATCGACATATTGGTGGCAGAAGCAATAATCCAAGGACATGGAGGACTTTTTCACAACTCGAGTCAGTTACAACTAAAATATGAATTTGTAAATTTCCTGATTTATTTTATTGGTTTTCTAAATGTGTTAATCCTTGTTTTAAATTACAAGGATGAGAGCAAGGTGATACAGGTGGATTTAGACAGTGACTTGTTTTTAATCTGTCCGTAGTTTCATATTTACTTTAATCTTCAGGAAGCTCTCTTCAGTCGGCAAAGTAGATTGCACAGTCTTGGGCCTTAGGAATGGAAGTCTCAGTAATCTTCCAGTAATCCAGTTAAAGTAGTAATCCAGTTTAAGTGCATATCCATTTCTTGAAATATCAGCCAATTGTAATAGTGACAATGGAGAGACAATCAGAGGAGATGCTGACATGGTTTTTGGCCTTTCCTTAAGTAGGTAATTAGAGGCAGAGGTAAATAATTCCTGATTAGAAAAAGAACTCTACTAGGTACACAATCCTTCATTAGATACCACTCAAACATAAAAATAATACATCTTTAACATGCTGTAACTTATCTTAGGATCTCAAAGACAAAATTACATTGTAAACAATATTTAGAATTAATTACTAATAATATTAGAGTTAACTACTTTGCTCAGCAAAAACTCACAGTTATCAGAGCTCCAATAAGATCGGAGGTGACAGGATCTTCACACCTCAGATTGTCTGCTTTCAGATGTGAAGAATACAACTCTGTTGTTCTGAGAATGTCGACAACCTGGAAAAGAAGAAATGCAATTTCGTTAGACACAAATACTGTCATCAAGTTGGTGCACTGTGTATTGTTCCAGCAAAAGCAAGTGTATTTTTTATAATTCATAAGCTTTTGAATCTTCCCTTTGACCAACTTCTGACAAGGATTAAAACAGAAGATCTTCAGCAGTAGGCTTGTTTTGCCAATTCAACTTCTGCATCAGAGAATGAGATAAAAGATAATATGTGATAGATGCACTTTTGGACAGAAGAAATTTAGTCTGTTTCTTCACCAAAAAGATGAATCATTCTTGTTGCACCCTTTGTTTGGTTGCCTCCATCGATGCAGAAGAAGTTTGAGGATGTTGATGACAGTCAGTTCGGTTTCTTGGGTTTGGTCTCAAGTGTGTGTGTGTTATTTGTTAGTTTGGTACCTTTTGCCAATGACGCAAGCAAAACTTTTGCATTGTGTTTAGTGCAGTTCCTCTCCCATAAATATTCATTTTAACTATCCTGTAATCATTCAAAATTCCATCCAATTACTACCTACCAAAAGTTCCACCACCCCGAGGTCACACATACTAACCACGTAACCTTCACAAAGCGTATAATATTGTCCTTTATGTCTTAGTTTTATCCTACCTTGTCTAATATCTGCACAACTTGTCCTGTAGAGTTTTCCTGAGCTGCACAGATGAGGGAGATCACTCTCGTGATAGGAGCCTCCAATGGTAGATTGTGAAGTTTAGCCAGACTTTGTCTTCTGGCAGACTGAGCACCTGAGACAAACCAAAAGTTGATAAAAACATCCTTGAGTTTTTGTTACAGAGAGGAAAATATTGTTCCTTATACTCTGAGGAAAATTAACCATGTTTGAAGATAAATTATTTCAAGGAAAATCTTTGGTCTAACCCAAAGATAAATAATCAAAATTAAGATGGTCAGAGGGTAGAACCAAGAAAGAGAATATTATACATACCCAAACATTATGGTGATGGCAAAAGGATCAATTGAGGTGAGCATGGCATGTGTAGAATTTAGAAAAAAGTCACCTGGGACCCCGGATGTAAGAGGACCATAAGGCAGACCAATCATGAGGTGGAAGGATAAATGTCAAAAAAACATTACCGTATAGAAATGACTTAGCACTACACTTTAAGCAGCTGAAGACAGAACAGACTGGAGAAAGATTCTCAGTGAGACCAAAATGTAGCTCCTGAGTTTGTTCAAAGGCCAGGGCCGGTTTAACCACAGATAATATAACCCCTACTAGGGGTTATATTATCTGTGGTTTAACCCATACGCAAACTACGCCGTGGTGCCGACGGAAATTTTTTTTTTTAACAACGCAATTTTTTTTTTTTTTGCTCAGAGTTCAAGTATTCAAAGCACCACGATAGAGGCATTTATTCTGTTTGTACCAACAGCACTTGAAAAATGCGTATATTTGTACAGCACTACAACTCAAGGACTTAATGCCATTTATTTGCAGTTTCGATTTGTAGTGAGCTGACGCTCGGCAGCGTACAGCGCGGCGCCTTTGGGCATTATTTCATGACTCATGCTCAAGATAAGCAAGCGCGCAGCACTATTGTCATAACACAAGAAACTTCCCCTTCCCTTCCCTCCCTTCTACTTCTGATAATTCTCCCCTCCTAGAGCAGAGCATTACGTTGTATTGCATTGCACTCTTTAGCTGTATACGTACACCTGTTCTGAACCAGATTGATACCGACTCAGCAATTAAAGAATTTGCCAAGATCAAAGCTAGGAGAATTAATTTTGAACTACTAAGAGCTTTTGAACTGTTAAAATTGAAAATTTTGTATTTTTTTTTGTCAAGGTAATAAATTTGGTTTTTCATGTTTTCTACATGTCTTATAATGTGTTCAACTAAAAATTCATCTCTTGTCATCTACCTACACCTATTTTTCATTGTAATAGGCTTTTTAGGCTTTATAAAAACTTGTATCGTATCCAAATTATCCTGTAAAAATTGTTTTCACATTTAGAAATAAATTGTTAACTTAGGCCGTGATGCTCGTCAAGCACGACATCACGATAGACTACGGCAATGATGTAGGTATTTATTTATTTATTTTCCAAGGAAAGATTAAAACAAGCAGCTGATCACAAACGGCAAACATTACGTCATTGCCGTCTTCTATAGTGACGTAATGCTTGACGAGCATTACGGACTGTTTTTTTAGTGTGGCCTTGGTTTTGCTAAAGTTTATATGATGAGTAAAAGTGTAAAAATGTTTAATTTCTGGGAATAATTATCAGTCTTTTATTGCAAGTACTCTTCTAACCTAAACTTATAAAAAGGTTCTTCCCAAAATCGTTGGGAAAAAATTCACAAATATAGTTAAGTAATGTTCATGGGTTGTGGGGTGAGTGGGTGGGGTGGTACGGGGGATTCTAAGTGGCGCTGATTCGGGTGTTCGCTTAACTCTGAAAAATTCCTAGAACCGGCCCTGTCAAAGGCCAAGCAAGTGAGGTAAAGGTGAAAGTGTAACTGAATTAATTTTCACTCTTGGCACCAAAAAGGGTTTATGAGAATGTGTATTTGCAGGACATTGCACAAATCTACGTGATGCGTCAGTTGGTAATAAAATTGGTTCATACCTTCACTGTTGATGGATTTGAGGTCGTAAGATCCTTTTCTGATTGAGGGTACGCTCCCTCTGGGATAAATGTGGTTTTCTAACGGATTATCTTGAACATAGACATAGTGTGTAGGTTCTCTGTAAAATGAAACAAAGTTTAATTTACAGGTTAAATAAAAATATAGTTTTCACATGTTATTGGTTCCGCAAGATTGGGGGTCAAGATTTAATCCTGGGACCCAGACGGTTTTCAGTGTCTTAAAATTCTCTTATTAGTAGCTAGGATTACATAATCCTAAGATTAATTAGATTTTATAAATTTTTGTTAACTTGAGAAGTCTTAGCAAGCATGAAACACGATTAACGCATTTGATAAGGCAAACAAACTGTAAGGTGGCAAGGCAATTTGTGAATAAAGTAAATCGTACATTTTTGCTCAATCTAGTCTCCAAAGCATAACAGCTAATCTAACCCTCTCTTACATTTCATAAACTGAAAAAAATTAACATCCAAGAAAGACATCACAATAAGAAAACAAACATATTTATTAAAACAGAAAAAAAGTCACTAATAAAGTAACCATAATTTGAAACTAGTGTTGCTCTTGTTAATGCTTGGACCACATAGGAATTTACTACTGTACTTCCTTAACCGACTCACCCTCAACCCCCCCCCCCTCACCCTTAACCTTGATCAACTCAATTCAATGCCTTGAAAAAATCTTCCAAATACTATTACGTACAAAACACACTCTTATTTAAAAAAATATAACCTTAAAAATCCATTATTAGGAATAAGGGTTAACATAGTTATTCATGAGATAAGTACTATATGTGAGAGAAAGATAGAGTTGGTAAAACATACATTAGACCCCTTCAGTATTAAGATGGATCCCAACAATTAATTCCATATACCATTATCAATCATGGGTGAATTTCATATTTATGTATAATTTTGTTGTATGCTATTTTAACCTACCTCTGATGGAATCAGTTAAGCTTGAAGATGATTTATATTTTTCAACTAATCAACTTGTATACTGAGTACGTACCTGCCCATCGCTTGGTAAGGCATTGCTCGACATTGCAGAGTGATGTTTTCCCCGCTCTTACTTCGCCAGCTGATTTTCCCCTCCCAGTCAAATCCTTTCTCCAGCTGTCTCGTCACCTAATAAAGTATTTTTGCTCGTATCAATTTGACAACTATATTTAATAATTTGACAATGATAATGATTTAATAATTCCTGTAGTGTAAAAATTCTATAATATTTCACAGATTTCTTACCTGGTCCATGTTGGCAAGCTGGTGGAACTTTGGGAGAGGTTGACCGAGGAGTTCTTCTACTTTGAATCCGAACACCTGACACCACGTACGGTTGGCATACTGAAAGCAAAAGACTAAATTAATAAAAAAGAAAATTCTCAAATTGAGCAAATCCAAGTAGTAGGAAACCGAGCAAAAAGTTATTTTGATATCAATTTTAAGCTAGTTTTAAAGATGTTATTGATATGAGTAAAGTTGACAACAGTTTCATTTTTAAAAGTTACAGAAGATGAAGAATGTGTGACAATAGCTTTCAATCCTGATTTGTAAAAGTTTTGGATTTTTAGTTCAGTAGAACCTGAAGAATTCAGAGAAGTTGACTTCCACCAAATTTAAAATTAGCTTCCTATTCTGATAATAATTGGACGTCCTTATAAGAGTTTCTATATAATCATCGGACAACGTTAAACAATTAATTGGTGCAGAGACTATGAATCAAATAATGAATGGTTGTCCTTTTATGGCTCTTCCTAGTGGACTCATCAGTCTTAAAAGTACGCATGAGCGCAGTGGAAATTAAATGGTGTATTAAATTAAGTTTAATTATTTCATATTTAATTTTATTTTGCTAGTGGCTATACCAGTGGCATTTTGTATCAAATAAATTTAAGCACACTTTTAAGTGCATTTTTATAAAAAAAAGTTACTTAAAACTTAATTTATCTTTAACACCTTCATGAAGATGCGATAAAATATTATACAGGGCTTTTATAGGCAGACACCAACAAAATGGAGTTCTGAGATCTCATTTTCCAAAGAAATTGTTTCTTTAATTAACACAATAATTAGAATCTTTAATAAATTAAATACAAATTGTATATTGTTTTAGTGAGTCATAACACAATTTCAAATGAATTTCAACAGATAACCCTACGGAGTAACATACCTGAATGGAGAGAGCTCATGAAACGGAGACTACGTTCTAACTGTTGCGCTTTTGATAGCACTTACTTGTATCACAAGAGTATCGTGAATGGTTAACGTTCAGCAGTGATAGGCGGAAGTGAGCCATAATCAGTAGACACTAAACATGTACGAGCTTGTCAGACAAGCAGATGAATGTACGGCGTAATAGACTCGTGAATCATGAAATTCTCGGACGTTCTAGACGAATGGAAGATTACCGCTAAATCTGAGGGTGAATTTTTTTAGCGAATTAAAAATAGACCTTTGGGTATTGATTGATTAAAGAATAACACAGGAAGAACTTATTTAGGATTCATGTACTTTTTATACTTAAATACAACCTTTTATTTAATTTACTACCGATACTGAAATATGCAACATGTTATTTCTCTTACTCCTGGCAGCTAAACTAAAACGGTATAACAGATTCTATCTATCTTACCTTGGGAAGTAAAAAAAATCATAAATTTAAGAGGACTTATTTTTACTGTTGAGTCTTAATCACCACTGTATGATTGATTTCAGAGTTCAGAAGAAGAAAATAAGTAATAATTTCTGAACAGTGCATAAAGATATTTGGCTGAGAAGAGATGGGTAATTGGCTAAAAAGGTCCATTGAAGTCCTGAACAAGCAGATATTTTAGCCTTTTTACATAGCCTTTTTACGTAGTAAATTGTAGGAAATTTTATTCTCTTTCGGAATATTTCCTTCCACTTTGGTTGATTTCCTCACCATTTAAAAGTTATTTCCCGAAACGTCAAGCAGCCTCCAAATTTCTAGTGGTGAAAAAAGTTGGAGATTACTTTTTAACTTTGAACAATTAAATCTACAGTTCTACTGGATCGATTTTGTTAAATAATGTGTCTTATTTGGAAGATATAAACTCTTTGAGTGATGTTTTTTCATTTGATGTGTGTTTTATAGCTGTAAGTTTAATAGTATAAAAGTTATAAAGCGTTAAAACCAGACTATGAATTTTGAATCACCCGGTACATTTTAAGCCCTAATTTATACAGCAATGGGAGTTGTACCCTTTTGTTCAGAATTTTAAAATAATAAATGTTAATCAAAATCGTTTGGGCCATTTTCGAGTTATTTTATGGGTTTTATGGTAAAATCACCATAAAAATCTAAATAAAAAAATTAAAAAATAATAACTGGAGGTACTATGGATTTATACGTAGATACCAGACTTCATCAAAATCGGACTACAGGTGTGGTCTGTAGCTCTGTACACGTCCACATGTACAGACATCACTTCAAAAACAACTTAAAAAAATTTTGACAAAACCAATACTCTCTTCATATACGTATAGTATAGGGGGAGAAAGTAAAATACAATAGGAAAATAAATAAAAAAGAAACATACGAAAAAAAAAACAAATAAATTAATGGGAGGTTTTTTGAGTTAAATAAGATCCCACTGAACAGAGACCATGATAGTTGATCAGGTTTCAGTGGGATTCAGCGCTCTCCATACAGTTGGCCTAAGGGAAATGATCCTGTAATAATGATAACCAACTAAGAGGACTTCGAAGTAATTTACTGTACAATTGCTACAGCAGTTCCATATATACATGGATCTCTACTTCAGTATCGAAAAGTAAAGTAAATGCTAATACCAATAATAACAACAAAAACACTTTTAGAATTTTAGAGTGGATTACTGTAAAGGTCATAATGTTTGAATAAGCTGAGAGGGATAGAGATGTAGAAATTATTTAGAAAACATTTGTATCATCAGTGCTATACCTGAATAACATGAGCGTGGTCGGTGACTAACACCAGGTCTCTACTCTTGTCTAATGCCAGGTATACTGCTTCATTGTGCGCCAGCAAAGCATGCAGTGCCACTTGCCCTTGCACTAACTGCACCAGCTCACACACAGCCTGTGCCACTGATAAGGGTTCCACCATTACCTAGACACAGAAACACATCAAAGTTATCAGTTGAGTGATGAGCGGGATACGCATGTGATATTTTGTAGAGTTAATTCAACAAATAATTGCTACTGTTGGATTAATTTAATACCACTCTCTACTTTGTTCACAATATTTAGGCGGTTTGAGGGGAGTTCCCCCACCACTTTTTTGTATTTATTGTATGTTGCCTAATCAGCTGTTGAGCTTTTATATTAAAGGTAAGGATCATGTTGAGGGGCAGTTTTCTTCCCCTCAAACCACCTAAATATTGTAAACAAAGTATAGTGTCTAGTGGTGTGACTCTTAGTGTTGTTGGGAGTACTGCCATATCCGTCATCCCACACGTCATCCTAGTTGACATGTCAATATCATATCATGTTGCTGAAGATGTCTCTTTTAAATGAATCAACACGCCAAATATTAAGTATATGAATTCAATATTTCAACTATAACGGAGTTATTTTTTCGCAGGGTACTAAACAAACTCCCAAATAGACTTTCCAAAATCCTTACATGGGTCGACTACAGACCATTTGAATTTAAGTTATGTTATTGTTTTTTATTGCCTTGTTTAATTATCAACTTGTCAATCGATGAACTATTTTGCAGCCTTCGGCATCTGCTGTATGTGTTGTGTTTCAGAGTGTTTGCTCTCCTGTTCTATGTTCAAATATTAACATGAGGTTTATTTTTGCAATTTTATTATGAGAACTCCCGAAATAAGTTTTTGAAATTTTCTTTTTTTAAACCTTTGTTTAGCCTGCAGATAAAAATATAGACAGTATGGATAAAACTACAACTTGTTTAAAGTTTTACAAAAATCTGATAGTATTTAGTTGGCAGCTACGATCAAAGAACAATTTTATCGGCTAGAGGTTTAATAAAAGAGAATAATAATGCTACTGACAGCATTGATTATAGACACAAAGTTTGTAATGAAATTATCTAAAGGGCCATTGGCTAAAGGCCTTCAACACTGACATTGACAGCGACAACGACAGCAGACCAATAATGCACAATAAAGAACTTTGTATCTGTATAGAAGCTGTCAAGGAACTTTTGTCAAAGGACTTTCAAAGCATCTTGATTAGAACTCAAAAACATGTTTACTTGAAAGCTGCAAAGCTTTCTCTATTATACAAGGTGAAAATGTTCAAAAAATGAATCTTATTTTGGAATATGTTTGGTAGTATAGTAAACATAATTAAGTGTTTATACTTAATGTGCAAGTTTGTCTTGCACTAAGACTTGTTATTGAATAGACAACCACTCACTTTGTAGTAAACAAATAGGAGTGTAACAGGTTGAATCCTTTACATATACCGATTTACTACCAACCAAAAAACAGTTAATGGGAAAAGTTCCAAGAAGTAATAGTAAAATAGGCTTTACCTTCGTCACTGCAGCTCAAATTCTTGTGGTGTAACTACGTTACGGCCGTTTCGTAACGTAGTTACCGGTTTTTGTCGGTTTTTTTTGGCAAAAAGCAGTCGGATTTTGCTCAGAACGGGAACATGTCACCCGTTAGTACGACAGGCCTGTTCGGTTTTTGTAAATATTTTAAATGTATCTTAATGTTCGTATGTTTTACGTGTTTAATCTTCAACGACGCTACTTCAGCCGAGTTTGTGTTTTTGTAGTCTGACGATGGCATTGTAATGCCGAAACGGCCGTAACGTATAGTTACACCACAAGAATTTGAGCTGCAGTGACGAAGGTAAAGCCTATTTTAGTTATTATACAGCTCAGGGGCTAAAACATGGATTTTAATAAGTAATAGTATACTACTCCTACTATACTATACCTTCTGTACTATCCTGCAGTGTACTAAACTGCTCCTAGTAATAGCATTACTAGGACCAAAAGTGGCATTTTCCGGCGCACGCTCTATGGTTTCTAAATTTCACTAGTGAGAGTTAACAAAACACTAATGCGAGTGGTGGATAGATGGAAAAATACAATCGAGAACGAGGGAAAGTAAGTTTAGAGCAAGGGAAAATCAGCTGATCGTTTTCACTCGCTCTAAAGCTTGAGAAACAACTACTTTCTTTGATATCAGCTGTTATCGAAAAATAGTTACTCTCTGTAGGCTGTGTGATGAAAAGTTTTTTTCAGACAGATAGTCAGTATGAGTTGAAAATTGTGTTTTCATATAGGACCAGTATTTTTTATACCTTGACAATGAAATGTATTACATTTACCATCACTAATGTTCTAAAGTGAGATTGGTTCAAGAGAATCATTTTACAAGATTGATCCACATAAATTAATGTTGTTGCCTTTATTAATATCAAAGAGACCTTCTGTGGTTAAATTGTAAATACAGTATTTGTTTCTGACTACACAAAACTGAAAAAATCCCCTAGTTGAAACTCCATTCCTGAATTTCTAGTTGAAATTCTCTTTTATTGCTCCATAGAATAAACTACTAACTATTATGGTGAGTCAGTGGCTCAGTCGGTACTCGGTATTGTAGCGCCACAGACTTGTGGCTCAAGGCAGTCCTGGATTCAGATTCTGTTCCCTACTATTGCTTTGCTGAATATCACCCATGCACATGTCCGTAACCAATGTGGACAGGCAATTGTAAGGTAAAAGAGGCTGTCAACCTCTTTTAAATAAAGAAAAAAAACACCATTAGATACGGATATTAAATATACTCACTCTGTTGACTCCAATTTTCAACGTAGTTCGCAGTTCTTTTTCTTTCTCCACTGCACTGAAAAAAACAAAAGCGTGTTAAGATGAGTTTAGTTATATGTTTTGCTGTTATATGTAGAACCTCTTTAATCCGAACCCCCGTAATCCGAACGTCCACTAATCCGAACCCCTCATTGCTGTACTCTATACACAGTACAGCAGTTCTTTATTGTATACTGTATTTAATTTACAGTACTGTTTATTCATCATGTTTACTACTGTTTTAAATTAACACTGTATTTTACTTTATAAAACATTTGATCACTTTTACCAAAATAATTTTGATCAATTTAGCCATGTTTTAGCTATTGTTATGTAAAAACAACAATATGTTCTGTAATCCAAACTATTCAATAGTCCGAACAACCCCTGGTCCCAATTAGTTCGGATTAAAGAGGTTCTACTGTATTATCAGGTTGTGGTTTCAATTTAACAGACAGCTATAGGCCCTCTCGATTAATACTGGTTTCAGCTTGTGAGCTATGTGGTCTCTTAAGAGGAGAGCTTTCCCACATTAAACACTCTTCACCAAATGCCTTTGGATGATTTTAATTTCAGTTTATGTAAAGATCTTAGTTTTCTATTGGAAACTGTTGTTTCCTACAGTAATTTAAGTCTATAAAGACAGGTCTATATAAATATTGGTGAACAAAAATGAAAAACCAACACCTTAATGTCTACTTCACCTTAAAAAATAAAAAAAACTTTACATCTACCTAAAAAACTTTACAAAGAAAACTACTGACGAAAACGATTCAAGAAAATTTACTTCACTCTAAACCTGAAACAAAATTAAGCTAGGTGTATTGGCATCCATCCAATAACCACACATAGAAGACACATAAGGAATTTAATTCCGACCGAGAAAGAGTTCTAAAGTAAACAAAATGAAGACGCAATTCAATCTCCAGACGCAAAACTTGTTCAAGTTTATTTGGTTTTGGGTGTATTTGCAGACAAGCGAACTTACCTATAACAGCTTATAATTGCAAAGTGCACTTTTATTGACATTAAGTCTAACTTCGAAAACTTCGCTCATGTTCGTTTGAAAAGTTCTGTGTTTTATTTGGATGGTATAGTTGTTGAAAGAGTTTAAATTTCCCCCTTAACTGCTTAACGTATAAAATGAAAGTCTAAAGAATAAAAACCACAATCTAAAATTAGTTTTAACTGACCTTACTTCATTGACCATTTAATACTACAAACAATTGTTTGCATCCAGACACTTTTTTTTCGTTTTAAGATATAAATAATGTAATCAACTTAAACTATAAGTAAGTAATACACAAACTTTTACTTCAACTGCATAGAAACATTTGGAAGTTGGCCGAAGTATTAGTGCGGTTTCTTGTATTGTTTAAATGAATAGTTTAAAACTAGTTGAATCCGTGCGAATTTGCACAAATAAATTAGGATATTATAGCAACGTCGTTAGAAGTTGCGTCGTTGTATCGGCATTGGTCTTGAACTCGATCGTTGGCTATATGCATTCTAAGTTCTTTTTGCTATTCAGTAGGAGTATTTTGCAGGACGAAGTTCATCGTAATGAAAACTTGCGCGTATTAATATCAACCAAATGTTTAGTCAAAATGTCCATGAGTTCAGTGCTGTAAGAGACATTAGCTTTGTTTAACATTCTTTCCTGAACAGCGGATTCGTCGTCGTAAATATAAATTTAGGCATATGTGGGATGCTGCCCTTCTGACAGTTGAAAGGTGCCAATTGAGTGAACAATTGTGTCGTGCACCTTATACATGAAAGGCCCTCCACCGTTATGTTATTCAATTTTAGCTCGAGTGCTGACCATTGCGAGCGCAGAGTTGTACAATCTAATGTTCTCTTTGTAGTTTCTGCTCAATTGATTTGCTCTATTAAGTAGGCTCTGGATATAATAGATTTCTCGGTATGGTGGTAGATTCACTTTTCTTTATGGCAGCAGGATGAAAATCCTTCGCATCATCCTCTTTGTTCTTCTTTAAAATGTATCGCACCACATTTCTGACATTTTAATGCCATCTCGCCAAGTGAATGCTGCTGAGAATTTTTCAAAACCAAACAGCTGGGATTATTTTTTTTTTACTAATGTATTGACATCTGTTTTAGAATAGGTACAATAACATTCAAATCAATCACAATGTTATCCTTATGGAAGGAACTTTGAGGGCAGCCCACACCCTTAAAAAGATATATTTTGAAAATCTAAAGCCAGTTTGCACATCTACACACCTAGACGAACATTTTGGTATATAATATGTGGGGTTAAATCTTAAAACAAAAAAGCCTTATTGTTCACAAAGTTTCATGTAGCGTATTAAATATATAGATAGATGGGAATATTTTCACCAAACTAAAATTCTCAGAAATCATTTGAAAGTAAGTTATGGTTATACATTTATTTTATTTAGAAAATAAAAGCGGAGTAGGTTAATGTTTAAGGATTTAATATTTATCTAAAAGTAAAAATACAGGGTGGTCATAAATTGGACAAAAGATTAAGTAAATAATCAAACAAGAAACTTAAACATGGTAATTGTTTCATTAAATATCAAATTTAAAGCAGTTTAATACAGTAACAGCAAAAGATAATTAATTATAAAAATAGTCACTAATTATAAAAATTGGTTAAAAGAGTCTGTAAAAATCACCTAAACTGTGAGTGTAAGCCAAGGCGACGCCTTGAGTGTAAGCTATGTTTTTGTTCTCAATGACTGTGTTGTGACATAGTCAGCTGGCCAAAAATGAACCTTTCTACACCAGCTGTGTGTGACATTTGATGAATCAATGACCTCAGTAACTAACCTCAGTATCAAAATGACTATTAGCAAGTTAAAGCTAGTGTTCTTTGGTTTCATGAAAGTAGATTAGTAATAACTGTTTGAATTACACTTTGCTTAGAGTATGGCCGTAATTCTCCAAGTAGAAACTCTATAAAATGGTGGTTATTACAGACAGTTAGAACAAACGGGAAGTGTCCAACATATAGTCTAAAAGGTCTCAGAATAATAGTTTAGGTGTCTTTTATAGACTTTTTTTATACTAAGTTTATAATTACTGACATTTACATAATATTTTTTTCAGTTACTGTATAAAACTGCTTTAAGTTTGATATAAAAAAATCACCAAGTTTCTATAAGTTGATTGGCTATTTATTTAATCTTAAAATGTGTCCAAATATTAATTTATGACCACCCTATATAACTTCTTGTTGTTGTAGAGAAATACTAATGGTTAATGAATTTAATTTAAGGGTTTTTTTTTTTAATTTGTACAGTTACAGTGTTACAGTATATGTTACTCTAGACTGAAATTACATTTTATTATGTAGTGTTGACTGAAAAAACCCTTTCATTAATTCAACACATTTAAAACAGCAGCAGATGGTTTTTGAAGGTTTGGTCTGTGATGGGATGTTTGTAGGGGTTATTAGCCAAGCTAACAGAAACAGACTGGTAAACTAATATTTGGGTTTCATAGCAAACATAAGCCTGCCTCGGGCCTACAAGTAAAGCATAACTCCAGTCATATTGATGGCCAATCATCGGAATTGAAATCAGGTGGATGTAATGAGCCGTATTAATAAAAAGAAGGATATGCTCAAAAGGAAAAGGTATGAAGCAAAAGCATTTGCTTCTAGTAAAAGGTAAAAGTAAAAGCATATCCTTCAAACCGTATTAATAATGATTACCTTTTACTTCCGAGCAAATCCTTCTGCTCAGAAGTAAGTAAATGGTTCTTTAGGAACATCACATGTTAACACGTCTGATCCTGTCTATTTTTGTCTACTGATATCCCTCGAAGGCTGTGCCAACTCCGTGTAATGGTTTTGCATCCGGCTTTGAATTTAATCATCACAAACTAAATTATAAAATCTAGAGTGTGTGGGCCGGAATTTTACCCCGGATTTTACCCCCAGAATCTTAACCCCTTTCTAGACATAGAATTTGGTTGATGATAATAGTTAGTCGGGTACATAAATTTGTTTATAGAAATCATGATATATGCTTTGTAGATAGCATGCGGTACTGTATAACCACAGGAACCCTCGCCGCAATTGCAGACTAAATAAATTTCCTTTTACCTGGCTGGATTTCTTCTAAAATATTCCATGAAAATTGTCAGATTTATTTCCTATTTAAATTATATCAATTTTAATGAGTACCTAGGTTTGCTGATTCAAGGAAGGTATTGAGGTGTGTTTTTATTGAAATGTTGATAGCTTAGTAGGAGGTAAACAAAATACTCCCGCCACAGCAAACCTGCAGACTAAGTAAATTTCCATTTGCCTGATTGGATGTACACTAAAATTTCTCCAATATCACATTCATTCCCTATTTAAAAAGCTTTAGTTTAACTGAGTACTTAGGTTTACTGCCACATGAAGGGTAAAAAGGTGTTTTTTTTTGTAAAATGTAACAGTTTAGTACCTGAAATGAATGCAAATTTGATCAAAAAATGCTCATAAACAAGAAAACTACAACAGTTTAAAAATTTCTCCATAAAAATAACATAGAAATTTTAAATTAACATTTTTTTTAAATTTTCTCCGTAGCCATTAAGCGCATAACATCGCTTTGATATACTAAATTGATAGTTTTTTTTAAACTCTACAAAATGGCTTGGAAAGAAGTTGCTAAATTCTATGTTTTTAGGGTAGAAAATGTTAAAATCCAATTACCCCATAAAACCGCCCATAAACACCCGTTTCCATATCCTATTATGCTGATTCGCGAATCCCTTAGAATAAACGTAGGTTTACACGTTTGCACCAAATTTAATCAAAATAGGATCACCTTTGCTCTAGTTATCGTGCTAACGGGCACACATATATATGAATTTGAACGGAGGAGGTTTTTGGCCTCTGGGGACCTGAAAACGGAAAAGTAAATGGGTCATGGGTCTAGGTCTTACCATGAGACCTACGGTAATAGCTTTTTCCCTATTTAGGAAATTCGCTAAAATTTACCACCACACTGTAAAACCACCACACACCTTTTACTTAAACGTATAATCTGCTACTGATCAGATGCATCATTTTTGAAGGATTTACTTCAAAGAAAAAGTAAATGGTGAGTTTTATTAATAACCATTTACTCAAGTCATGAGCAAAACCTCAAATTTCTATAGATTACCTTTTACTTCTAAAGCAAAAGGTTTTGCTTCAGTTTTTATTAATACAGATTGAAGGATTTGCTCGAATTTTCGCAAGTAAAAGGTTTACCTCATCTTTATTAATACGGCTCAATGTCCTAGTGTCTTAATTCTTCTAAATCGTAATAATATTGAATTACTTTTAATTAAGGGAATTTTCCCACACAAAGAAAGTTCTGATCTGATAGATCTATCATTTTCTCTTATTGTTGGGTGGGCTCCACACAACTGACCAATGGGGCACAGTATTATTTAATAATTAAAGTAATTAGTGAGATTTTAACACAAATATCCATCCCTGATTATCCAAAAAATATAAATTCATATACTTTATTCATTCTATCTTTGTACAGGCTTACGAGAGAAAGAATTTAACTTGTCTGATCAATATGCTCTAGTATTATTGTCTAGTTTAAGTTTAAAATACATTTTTGTGTTTTATTTACATAACTTGTTTTAACTGGTTCAAATGTTACAATTTCTTAACAGACCAACATAGTCTACAAACAAACAAAAACATCTTACCTTTTTTTACAAACGCCGACTATGATGATATGGTGGGTCCTCTTTATGGCACGAAGTGCTCTGAAAAATAGTAATAGTTTAATAACACAAGTGGAAAAAAAACATTAATAAAATAAAATAATTATAAATACGCTAAGCCTTGGTTTTAGTTATACTACTGTGCAATAGATTCTGATTCGTTGTTAAAATTGTAGCAAATTTTTATATTAAAATTAACTTTGATATTTTTTTATACAATTTCCTCTTACCTGCAGAAACTTGCCTTGCTAAACTTTAAAGACAACCTATTTTATATTTGAACATATTTTATTATTATTATCTTTTTATATCTACATCATCTATTTACTAGTATAATATGAAAAATGTAGATGACTAAAAAGAGATTCTCAGTGTACTATGATACACTATCATAATATGAGTATCATATGAGTATACTCTGTGAGAGGCTCATACTCTTTGATGTTCTCTTTGAGTATAACCCTACATTCAGATCGGCCATACACGGGGTTTCTCAGTACTCAAAATTGTAAGTAACACTGTAAAAGATAATGGTTTTAAAGTTTACTTGTTGTTATAAATGTTATAATCAAGATATAAATTCAACAAAAGTTATAGTTTTATCCATTAAATAAAAAAATTTGATTGGGTATTAAACTCTTTAATATTTTATTTCACCTCAAACTTATAGTGTGAAAAGATTCTTCAATGTAGTGGAATGATTAAATATGACTTCAGTAACATACTTAATGAGAGACTCACATTCACCTATGCTTTATTAAACCTTTTGCCTGACCATGTATTTATATAGATGGAATATCTGCTTTAATAGTACCTAAAGTCCATCTAAAGCTATCGCTGTTTAAGAGTTTAGAATATTGCACATAAATGAGATGGCTTCATACATGGGCATGCCTTAACACCATATAGGCTTTAAATATTCCAACAAATCAAATAACCGGAGTAATTTATTAAAAATAATAAACATGTTTAGTAAACATTAAGAAGTAGACCTAACAAAATGCTAATTTTTGATGTCCAGTAAACAAGATTGAACGATTCTAAGAAGTAAATTTAGTTGTAAAATAACAAACAGCTGAACTTGTTCAAATTCTATAGCCTATTGTCTAACTACGGAAGTTCAATGTTCACGTCAGCTGCAGATGGAGTAAGTTGTTTAACTTCATTAAACGGAAACTAAATTTTAACACGACTAAAATTACTAAATTGGATTATTGGAAATATGCTTCATGTAAGTTCCAACCTCAATATTGAAGTTCCAACCGTTGATAGTAAATGCTGATGTTTAACGAACTAAAATTTTAAATTGTTTTGCACTTATATTCGTGGCTTACATGAAAAAGTTCCTTCAAAACAAAGCAAATGTAGGTCTTCTGTTGTAGGAAAAATAAACACTACACACACGTATAAAGGTAAGCGGCATCTTATAGATCACTTGAAAACGACAAAGTTAAGCAATTAACTTACTTCTATTGTAAAGTTTGAAGCCTGTTTAACGAGTGTTTCATGTTGGAGGTTTGTAACGTGTAGAATGCGCTGATGTTGTGTTAAAATATTAAGGCAGACTCCATGAAGGGCTCACTCAACTGTATACTCTTTGAGTAAATAGTATATTTCACAACTAGTCCCGAAAGTGACCCTTTCGGGGCTCAATAGTGTTTTACATGCGAGTCGTGACGAGTATTGGACGATACTTTTTATCACGATGATAAAAAATACTTAAAAAAATTATCTGATATTTTGTAATTTTTTCATTTTCTAATCTTAACACAATACGGCTACACAATTAATTTTGATGTACAATTCAGCTGATTTAAAATCAACCACGCTTTAGTTTTTGTTTTCTGTTTGTTTGTCTTTTTGAGCTAACCGGGAACTTCAGTTGTAACTTTTTTGATGTCAGGCAAAGCATTGTTAGTGTAGCGAAAATAATGTTTATGCCAGAAAAAGTCAGCTGATCACTATTTGGTTTTGGTGTATGGAAATTGACCATTTTCGAAGATCAGCTGTTTGGGCATGGACTATTTTCGAATACAGATGAGTGATGAAAAATGCATTACACCAGCTGGTGTACTTTAGACGAACTCTCGTCTGAAAAAAAGAAAGTCATTAAAAAAAGTAATTAAAGGAAGTCATATTATGTAGTTCGATGTTATTTGTAGGTGTGTTTTAGTATAGGTGATTTTCATGTGTACCAAATTCATTGGTGCAAGTATATAGTGATTCATATAGATAATTATACGTATTTCTGTGAGTCCAACTTTTACAAAAGAAATAAAAAATGTTTATTTTACATCAGCAAATTGTAATGCTCAGTAAGCTCAAAGGAAAACAAAGTTAAATTATGCTTTACAATGTTTAACGTTCTCTTTATAGTTCCATTGTTCCCTAGGTATTGCATTGTTTATAATAATTTCTTAAGCGTGACCTCTATTTGAAAAGAGAAAAAGTTGATAATTACTGTTCTCTTTATATAATTAATCTTCCTCTTTTAAAAGATTTGTGAATATGAATATTTTAATAGTTATTGATGTTTTAAGTTTATTATTTATTCTAAGTATTTTTTAGTAATTGAGAGAACATGTTTTGTTGTTTAGTGACTCAAAGGAAAATTAAAATAACAATAATTATACTGGTTATGGATGAAACAATCATGTCATCTGTTAAAAATATAATATTTAATGTAAGACGATTTAAAATTGATACTAACTTCCTCTTTTGGTTGTAAATTTTACATTTTATTCCGTACATAGGTATGTAAATCTTTTTTGAATGTAAGTTTTCTTTACTTTGATTTGTTGTTTCTAAAATATAAACGAGGAAGATAACCCAACAAAAAGGTTGTTACTCCAATGTAAAACCTCACTCTTTATACCTCTAGTCAACTTCATGAATGTTTTATATTCATCCCTCAACAGCGTTATAGCAATCTCTTTAGTGTTATATGCGTTACTGGGTTCTCAAAGGGTAACAGAATATTGCGTAAACAACGTTCAAGTTCTCCGGTTACGGCGCTAACACAAGGATTATATAATCTAAACAACATACAGTAATCATTTTTCAAGACCGCACTTCACGTAATATATGATTGATAGGACTAACAATAAAACTGATTTCAAAATCTTGTCCCAAAACATATATTTCATTATTAGCACCGTGGTAATTTAGGAGCTTAAGTATTCATGTATGAACTTGTGCCGGAACACTAAATATTAAGTTCACATTAAAATATTAGAAACGTGCTTTTATTAATCTAAAAAAGTAATAGAAATTGCTTAAAACGATGTTTTTAAGCAACATGAAGTAAAAATTTAAAATTTGCACGAGAGTTCTGAGTTATACAAGGAAAATCCAATTAGATCTCGCTAGAAAAAGTATGAGCGGTGCGGACGGCACATACGGTAGCGCGCGAATCATTGCCTGGAGGACCGGCTACAGTATCTACTAGGTTAGTGTGGAAATATTCTCTATATTATATATAATATACACCCGTAGTACATATGAACTGAGAGCTTAAAACAATACTGCGCTTCAATGCATTTAGAGAATCTAAAACTACAACTTAACCTAAACACCTAAGCAACGAAATTTGTGTAATTAATAAGTTCTAGATAAGCGTGTTACGTAATAACACTATTAAAGGAATACAATACAATAAGTCTCCCAATAGTATTCTATAATACTCAAACGAATATTGTAAATCTATTTGGTGGAATACATAGAGGGTGACTTGAAGAGGTTTATTAATTCGACCAAGATCAGGTAATTTGAACAAGATGTTTTAGGGTAGACGCAATCATAATTGTATATGTTATATTGTTGTGTTTCTTTTACTGTTTTGGTTTCATGTGATTTCAATTCAAACGGGAATAGAAATATATATGCGTCTTATATATATATATATATAGAAGAAATCGAAATTGTTTACCTATATATATATGAATTTGGACAGTTTGGGCCTCTGAGGACCTCAAAACCAAATAGTAAATCGGTCCCGGGCCTAGGGCGACGAGAGCTACGGTAATAGCTTATTCCATATGGGAAATTCGCTAATAAACTATAAAACATACAAGACATAACCTAGCATGTAAAGTAAGTAAATATTGCATTCAATGTAAATTTCCGAGCTGTCAGTAAAACGAGTGTTTTTGACAGCGTGTTTCGTTTTATGATTCAGTTTATGTTGTTGTCGGATTGAATGAGAATCGCCAAGGTTTGTGAATCTCGGCCAAGACCGTAAACTGTTTACGTATTTGTTGGTGTCAAAAAAGCCCGAAGGTTTGAAATTCACATTTAATATAGGCCTGATTACTATAGGATAAAGTATGTTTATCATTGACTTATATTACTGAATGTGTATAAGATTATTACGTTTTTTGCTAGTCAATGGTTTTAGCGAAACAATCTCCATACCATTAATGATTTAAAGTAGGTACGCAGTTAGGCAACTCATCATAAGAAATGTTTCCGGTAGTACATCTGTAATACATAATGTCTTGGAATTCAACTTAGTTTCGACATCTTGTTTTTTTAGCAAATTTCCCATATTAGTCCAAGCAAACTAAACAAACTTACATAGGGATCGTTAAAAAAATTGCAAGAAAACGTTTTATGGTTTCATTTTGTAGAGTTGGGTTTGCAGAATGACATACTAAAAGTTGCCAAAAATCGGTGCACGAGAAAACCACTAAAATCAGAATTTAAAATGGCGGCTATTTCCAACATTGGACAAATAAAAAAAACATATTTCACATGCATTTGTTATGCACATTTTTCGAGATAATGACTTGGGACCACCGCCTGTATTTATTGGGTGGTTAGTATTTCATTTCGATAGGGAACATGTTTTTGGCCGCCATCTTGGATCCGCCATATTGGACATTGATCTTTTTTTTTCAATGTAATGATAGTGTTGTGATACATCATTACCAACTACATTTTTACACTGATTTCAATGCCGAAATCCGTTTTTAAATATCTTTATTCATTTAGAAGATATATTCAAACAAAAACTCTCCACCATACATTTCTTATGGACGTTTCGTAGTTTGATAATTGTTTTAAAATTATTTTTCTTATATCTCCAGTTCTTATTGACGCTTGTAGTTCGTTCTAGGCTTAAAATATTCAGTAATGTAAGGGCTTTCATTTGAGCTCTTGATCATTAAAATCAGACGAGTTAAAGACCAGCTACAAACCTCAGAACAATATTAAATTTAACTTTTTATAAATATATTTTTATTAAAAGATTTATAACTCGGGTTGTTAATACGTCACCAAGTTCTTTCTGGTCTCAAATTACTCAGTGAATGTTTAGCTTTGATTTTATTAATCACTAAACAAAATCTGACAATTTTAAAATGAGTCATGGTTCTTAATTTATATTAAAATGTATCTGTTTTGAAATTTGTCTTATAAAAACAGTCTTATAAACAGTCTTATAAAAACAGTCTTATAAAAAATGTGAACCTGCAATTTGTATGGTTTTAAAAGTGTACGCTTTATTTATTTTATATTTACAAACTAAAATATTTTCGCGTGATCAGACCTAACCACTCATCCGTACCAACCGGATAATCGATCTTCTACTGTATAACCTACCTGACTATCTGGTCGCCTTTGAACCAGGAGTATCGTAAGTCGACAAAGACTATTTGAGGCCAGGACGACTGTCCCTGGTAAAACTCCAGCACACTATCTAAAGTAGACGCCATGTCTCTTTGTAGTCCCAGGTGTTCTGTGGTGGTGGTGAGGGTAGTGCAGGTGACGTCATCTTTGCTGAACACCAGCAGCACCTGAGGACAAGCAAGTGTAGACTGTAGTACTTTATACTTTTTGATGAAATGGCGACCATACAAAGTAGGTATTTTAAGCCAAGTATGAATGGAGATGAGTGTAGGATGAGTGGCGCGATTTTGTAGTCTTGTTAGTGACTAAGGCCGACATATTACTTAGACACAGCTGTTAATTAATAGCCCATACAACTAATGGCAACTAAGGGACCTACAGTTTATAGTGGAATCCGAATCACATTTTCGCCTTGGTATATACGAATTGGTCTAATTATCAGGATAGTACTGCGGATAGTCGTAGTACTCACTCGTGCGGACGTTAATCCACACCAGAGAGTATCGCATCCACAGTGCATGCCTTATATCCACAATTCGTGACCTCCTAGTAGCTGGATTACAGGACGACGCCACCCGTCCCAGTCCATATACATAAGACGTATAAACATAGAAATATCCACGCAACTGAGTGGCTCCAGTGCTCGCTTTCTCATCAGCAGAATGCTGGTTCTGAGACAAGTCAGCACATTTTGATGGTTGGAAAATGTACTCAGTTCCTGATCATTGGACTTTAAACAAGTTTCCTGGCTAAAGAAACATTAAAATGGTATAAGATTGCCTGTTTCCGTCTGTTATCCTAAATTTGTTGTATTGAGCAACCGGTTTCAAGGCTATAACCTATCAGACTCTTGTCACTCTTGCGAGACCATTGAGTTTTCGAAACAAACAAAGACAATAACATTTAAATAAATACACAAGACATATTGACAGATGACTAACATAAATTTGGGAACTAAATAGTTCCTAATAGAACTAACTAGTTCTAACTAGTGTGGAACTCCACACACGACGCGGCACGGGCAAACGTTTTGTCATGTTGGTAATTTGGCGGGATTTGAACCCGGGACCCTAGTGAAATACTCGGTTTTCATAGTATGATAGAGTTCGTAATTAGCTTCGCACTTTGGATTTGGATTAGTCAAGATCAATCGTCTACTTTCAAACTTCAGATATCATTGATGCATAAGCGCTTGTGCTGACAGAATTTCACAATACTTGAAGTGAATGGTCTTTGGTGAGCAGCTTCAGAAACCAAACAACACGCAGTGCGAATCATTGCAGATGATACTGTAACCCTACATTACTATCATCGTGCACTATTTGAAGGATCATTATCATATTAGTTAGGGTTTGGTTACACTATACCTCTATATAGAGTTAACGTGAGTTACACTAGGTTTAACAGATACACTTACTCTTATAGGTTGAGGTCGAGGAACAGGAATATTCAGTTGATGAAGCCGATGGCATTGTTGTTCTAGTGTCTGAAACAAATGAAAACCACATTAAAAAAAACTTAAATAATCTCAGCATTACACGATAATGGAGATGGATAGATACGAAATTTAAAATAAACAACACTGCTTAAAATCACGTTCACAGAAATTTACAAAAGATCAGTAATAGGATGGAATGTTAATGAATGAGACACAAGATTAGAAACAAAAAGAGTGAGAATTTCTCACTTAGCATGAATTGTTATCAGCAAATAAAAAGAACAATAAGTTTTAGAACCGGGAATATTTTCTCAGTGTCTTCTGTATTAAAGTTTTACGTCTCATGGTAATAACAATAAACCGTATAAAAAACTCTCTCAATCTTTTTCCAAGCCGAAAAAAATGCAACTGTCCTTTTAAATTGATAAAGAAACAACTTTTTTCTAGAGTTTTTCACAAATTAATAACATTGAAATATCAATTATCGTTGTAACTTTACGCATAGACATGAAGTTGTTTTGTGATTATTTTAAAGCGTTTGTTTGTATTCACTTACAATGAGGGAGTGTCATTTTTATTTAAATAAAAGATTATTGACTATACGTAAAAATAATATCTAAAAGTCAACAAAAAAAATTTTGTAAAATTTGTTTTATTCGTGTCTGATGGGGCAAAAATGACTAAAAGTACTAAAAAATGTTGTTTCATCTTTCATATACATTGTTACTTCTCATTCTAGGATTTTAACATTTTTTACGAATTTAGAAAATCAAACTTATTTAACATGTTTTCTTGCCATTTTGTAAAGAACACAATTGATTTTGTGTAGCAATCTCATTCCAAAAGCAATTTCGTTCTCATTTCCATTACTCATTGGGGTTAGGTAAATCTTTCAAACTCTGTTTTCCAAAATCTGCATTTACGTAGATTTTAACGTGTATCAGCCAATACAAACACCTCATAAATGTATTTTCTATTCAATAAACTTCTGTTATTAAAATATATTAGAAGACCCAATTCGAGAATCAAACGTTCACAATATTTGTAAACACTAAAAATTTAGTCTTATACTTGGTTTGAGCTGAAATTCACATCGGAAATATAAATAAATTGAGACTACAATAAATATATTTTACTTCAGAAAAATTAGAAAATTACTTATAATTGGGTTTTAACAATACTAAAACGGCTATTGTTAGTAAAAGTATTCCTATAAAATACAAAATGAAATATTAAAATGTAATTTTTTGAGTTTGTAATGTGACATAAATTAATAAAATAATAATTACGTTAAAAACTGCAGCCATTGGGATGAACTGCCTTAGATTTAAACATTTCATACGTTATTTACACATTTTCAGTAGGTCAGGTAAAGTATCGCATCTTGAATTTAAAACATGTTTTCTTACTGCTGCAATTTTTCCCCAAATTGATTTCGCGAAAATAGACTAAATAGGTACCACTTCAAGCTTAAAGTAAAACATTTAACAAACTACCCCTACATATTATATTCATATTTTACACCTGTAAGATTTTGAATGTAGGCTGTTTTAGATTGAGTTAAAGAACATAAGATTTACATCAAGGTAGTTATAATTGTTTTATCGCATATTTGTAAATTCGGTGTTCTCCTAAACTCATAAATAACGGACATATTACGTTTGTAGAAAGCGTCTGGACCGATTTTGATAAAGGTATTATGGTCCTTGAAACTGTAAATAAAATGGTGGGACTCACAATGTTGTAAAAATTACCGGTTAAAAGGAATGGATATTTTTGCGATTTTCCCTATAAAAACTCTAAGTTGTTCTATAGTTTTTTAGTTTTTTTTTATTGGTGGTATGTCTTTTTTGTATAAGTTATTTTATTAATAGTTGTAAGATATTTTAAAACTATGACATTACAATAGGAAGAGAGTTATTAGAATATGTAATACCACCAGATTAGAGTGAAGACAGAATGCAAACTCTATTTTAGATAGATTGCTTACTGACCGTACTGAAAGGTAGGTGAATCTGGACACTATATCGAATGTTTACATTTCTTAGACAAATAACCCGAGTAGGTCGATACTGGCTGTATACAGCCCAAACCAATATTTTGTCGCCTAAAATAACACGACCCTCCCTAGACAAGAATTGTGCAGGTGACCTAACATTTGAAGTATATTATATCTTACAGTAAATATAAAACTGAAGTTACATAAATCATAGTAGTTGGTGAGTTGGCGATGAAATATTCATGTTTCAGGTTTTTAGAAATTAGAAGGGATAGGAGCAATTTATGCATGTTATATAAAGTTTTTCTTAGTTAAAACGCTGAAAGAAGTTGGGAATATAACTATATGTGTTTTTGGAACACATGATAATTAAATGTAAATCCACGATTTAACCCCTGTGAGCTGTACAATTAATAAAAACTAGTGTACCTGTTGCTCGAATTCGAGCAATTGCGAAGCATAGGCGTTATTTTAAAACGAATAACGGTCATAATTTCCGATGACTTTATAAAAGTCGACTCAAAGATTATGGAAATACTCACGATGTACACAACGGTTAGATATAATCAAAATTGTTTGTAAATATCTTTTTTTTTTGTCAAAAGCTGATCTTGTTTAGAGTTTTCTACAAACGTTTCCCACTCATAGCCGCATTAGGTTCTCTATAATAACTGTTATAAATGAAGAAAAAAACAGTATTTCTATTTCTTCTACTTGGTTGTGTTCTATGACTTTCTTATGTTTCCACTGTTTGCAAATCGGCTCTTAATGATTGCTCAAGAAATGTAGCACAGTGTTAATTCAATTTTATTTTTAGTAGGCCTATATCAAATTGTCCAGGATTTCTCGCTGTTTTCCATTGTAATAATTACACCAACCCAAGTATCGTCTACAGATGCAATACGCCAAAGAATGTCGTCTACGTGCAATACGCCTACGTACAATCTCCAAGAAGTGGTAAAGAAAGGCAGAAACCAACCCATACAAAAGACATAAGTTAACTCCATAAGAAATAATTTTAAGAGTTACTGTGATATTAGGATTTTCCACTGATTTGGCAATAGAACATTATATTGCAAAACATGACACGATGCAGAAGAAAATCAATTTTAAAATCATAAAAAATCCATTGCAAATACTGTACTTCATTTTGACAAATTCAATGAATCACAATTTAAATTAAGGGCGCCCCGGTTGAGGTCTATCTTGAATCTTAACAGCTGTTGCATTAAAAAGTAGTGTAGAATTATGCTTATGGTCGTAATGTAAACAAATCTCAAGAGGCAACTTTAAAGGCTTCTGGGGCAGAGCCCCAAGGGAATTTACCTCTTTCCTCTTTTGATGGCTCATCTACAGACCAAGACCTTTCTTTAGAGACCCCTACCAAGTTTCTACGCACAGCCGTTCTCTCAAATTAGCTGTGACAAAAACCGCGTTTTCCTCCATAAGAATAACATGGGATGGGAATTTAAAGGCCACGGGGGCAGAGCCCCAAGGAAATTCACCATGTTTCTCTTTTGATGGCTCATCTACAGACCAATACCTTTCTTTAGACACCTCTACCGAGTTTCTACGCCCAGCCGTTCTCTCAAAATAGCTGTGACAAAGAAAAACAGTTTCAAATTAATATATAGATACCCCCACCGCAGCAAACCTGCAGACTAAGCGAATTTCCATTTGCCTGATTGGATCTACACTAAAATGTCTCCTTAAAAATATCACATTTATTCCCTATTTAAATAACATTAATTTAACGAGTACTTAAGTTTTGCTGCAACAGGGAGGGTAAAAAGGTGTTTTTTTTTTTTTTGTAAAATGTAATAGTTTAGTATGAAATGAATGCATTATCCAAATTTGATCAAAATAAGTTAATAAACAAGCAAACTACAACAGTTTACTTGTTCTCCATAAAAATAACATGGGAATTTTAAATTTACAGATTTTTTGAATTTTATCCGTAACCATTAGGCGCAAATTAACTCTTCAATATACGAAATGACTTATTTTTTAAACTCTACAAAATGGTTTGGAAAGAAATTGCTAAATTTTAAGTTTTAGGGTCAAAAATGGGAAAACCCAATTTTCCCCCTATAAAACCCCATATATACCCCTGTTCCCATAGTCCGATCATGCTGGTTCGCATACTCGTTCCAATAAACGTAGGTTTACAAGTTTGTACCAAATTTCATCAAAATCGGATGATTATTTCTCAAATTATCGCGCTAACCATAGTAGATTTAATTTTATACTTTGGTATAATATGGTATAATATAATATGGTAACGGCCTATTCGTCAGTTTTAACAAATATCTATACCCCGAAAAAGCATCCAAATAACTTATTCCCAATATAACAAAATGTGTCTTGGGTAATTAAAAGATTCTGAGTATGAGAATCAATAAACTCATTTGCCACCGACAATATCTTTTTATCACAAGAAAGCACATATTAAATAGTGTTTGTTTAGAGCAGAGGTTGATCTAAAATCTAAACAAACACTATGGATACTGGACTACTTGGACGTTCAAGGAGAAGACTAGAGCGAATATCTGATTATTGAGTTATGCGATTTAGCCTACGTTGAATAATTTACTCACGTAAAAAGCTCAAGCTATTTAAGTAAACGATGTACCTATATAGAATGTTAAAATAGTTGTACTATTTAAATACTAAATATTTATTAAAGCAAGTTGTTGATTTTTTTAAAGCTAAAGTTGCTTTTTGGTCATATTTCCAACTCGTTACAGTTTTTACATCTCTAAAAAGAATGATATTAAGAGAAGTTCAAAGAGAAAATACCCCCGCCATAGCAAACCTGCCGACCAAGCGAAATTCCATTTGTTTACATTATTTTCAATCTTTTTGATAGAATAGACAGTATTGGTGGCAAGTATGTTATTATTGTTATAGTTTAGCAAACAATTATAATGTTATACTGTGTTACAACCCGCAGCTGCTATGGTGGTTAAGACGCGAAACTTCAGTCCCAGATGAGCAGGTTCTAATCCCTTAAAATCACCAATAACTTTTAGGTTTGTGACAATAGAGA